AATATTATAAATTATATATAGTATAGACAATACTATACATACGATATAGAATATTATAGTACTCATATTATATAGAGTACTAGATATTATATTATTCTAGAATATTTATATATAGTTTGTATTATTTTAGAATATATATTATTCTGTAATATTTATATATTATATTATTCTAGAATATTTATATATAATATTATATAATATCTCTATATCTCTATATAATTTATATATATATTTTTAAAATTCCATACATAAACTGTCCTCCAGCAAGTCTCCTGGGGGTCACTTGCTCCGTCTGATCCTGGAAAAAAGATTGGGAAAAAAACACACCTCTTCAAAAAAAGTGAAGAGAGAGTGAAATTACAGTTTGCAAATGATCTCATGCAAAACAAGGGGGTGGCTTTTTCCTCCCCAACCTACATTTCCGTTCCTGCAGTGCTCACAGGGCGCCAAACAGTTCCCTCCTGGTGGGAAAAGAGCAAAATGAGCTGGGGAACAGCCAGGAATAAAAAAATAAAACCCCCCGAGGAGATCTGCTCCTACCTGAATCATTGCAGACRGGCGGGGATTCCTTCTCCTCCTGCTCTTCATCTGGGAAAAGGAGTTTGGGGTGAATCTCTGTCTCCAGAGGGTTCCTGCTCCCACATCCACCCYGGATAAACCCYCAGTTTCATTTGMTTAATTAATTAATCAAATCCTGAGCACTGCTGAGAGTGAACGTTCTCTGCACAGCCAGGGGTGAAGCTGAACATCACCACACAAATCTGCCAGCAGCTCCTAAACTCCTACAAATCCTCAAGGGGGTTAAAAAATGATTTATCCTCAGATGAGCCCGATGTGCCAAGGACAAAACTCAACCCCAGCATGGAAACTGGGGAGAGCATTCCCAGGGAGCAATCAGCACTCTGCCTGAGGGGTATTTGATCCCAAAATGATCGAAAAGGGTGGATTCTCCTCGCTGGAGCCAACAGGACACAATTCCAGCAGAGCTGACACTTCAGGCTGTKGATTTGGGAGCAGGGCAGGGCCAGGATGGGCTCTCCCCATCCCAGGAGAAATGGATCCTGGAGGATATCCCGGGATGGAGACACGGGAAGGGCTGGCTGCAGCAAACACCAGCCAGCAGTTTGAAATGGCAATTCCCATCCCTGAGCTGCAGCAGGGCTGGAACAGCTCCAGGAACACTCCCTGCACGTGGAAACTCGTGACCTCCACCCCTCCCTTCCTGGGGATGCTCTCCAGCAGCTCCTTCTCCCAAAGGATCCCAAGCTGAGGCCGGGCCAGCTGGAATCCTCTGTGCCATCCCCATCACTGCTGAGCCAGGGATCMCAGCAAACCCACCCACCCTGCCTTCCCCATCCCCCTCTCCTTTTCCAGAGGAATTCTCAAAAACTTACATGCTACATTATATTTATATATTATATAATTCTATAATATTAATATATTATGCTATATAATATTTATATATGTTATTATGGCAYTCTAYAGTATTTMTATGTAGTATTATATATTCTAGAATATTTTCGAGAGGAATTCTCAAAAACTTATGTGCTACATAATATTTATATATTCTATCATTCTATAATATTCATGTTATATCATTCTATAATATTTATATATTATGCTATATAATACTTAGATATGTTATTATGGCATTCTATAGTATTTATATGTAGTATTATATATTCTAGAATATTTTCAAGAGGAATTCTCAAAAAAGAGAGGAATTCTTTCTCGGAATTGTTTCGTTACCAGCGCTACACAAAAGCAGAATAAACCACGAGCAGCAAAAGCCATGGAAGCACAAAACACCAACAGCAAACGCTTCCTGTGGTTCTTTTCCTGCTCATCCTGCTGGGCCACTTCTGCTGCCAACTTTTCAGGAAGTTTATGGTCTCCTGGTGTTTGGATAACTGCTGGGGTGTAAAACACCCACGGGTGTTGTGTCTGCAACAACCACGGGCGTTGTGTAAGTGAGGTGAGAGCAGCACGAGCTGCTGCCCTTTGATCATGGACAGGAAATCATTGGCTCCCAAAAATCTTATTGGGAAAGCAATCAGAGTCAGCATTCCCTGATATCTGCGGGAGTGTTCCCAGGAGAAGCAGCTGGGAACCAAAATATTATTTTTTTAGAAAGCAAACGGGTAAATCACAGCGATCTGCTCACCTGACTCCTCCTCGGAGCTGCTGCTGGAGCCGCTGTCAGAACTGGCCTCTCCTTAAAAACAGCACAGGGGGATGGAATCCAGGGATCCGTGCAGAGGTTTGGATCCAGCAGAGCAGGCAAAGAGAAAATTCTCAGAGCAGAGAAAATACTGAGRTGGAAAAAACATCAAACCCCAGCTCCAGGGAGAGCCTGGAGTCACCCAGGCCCTGCTGAAGGGTGGGCACATTTAATTTTCATGTTTTACACAACCTGGGATTTTCAGGAGCTTCAGGCACGGCACATCCCAGTTCAATTATGGTTTCCCACAGAAGGTGGAGAAGCCTTGGTGGTGTCCCACCACGCCTGACTCGTGTGAATGCATCAAATGTGGCTTTAATTAATTATTCCTACAAACTTAAACTGGAGAGAAACCAGCTCTGGGAAACCAGGAATGTGTTTTGGGATGTGGATGTGGGGAAATTTGGGATGCAGGGCCAGCCACAGCACCCCAAGGGTGAGGAAATCCCTGAGCCACRGTGTGCTCACCCTCTGGGTGCTCCTCGGCCGATCCCAATCCCGATCCCGATTCCTCCGTGTGACTGGGGGTCACCTCTGCKAGAGAAAAACAGGCAAGAAAAGTTCCAGAAGAATTTCTGCAGAACTCTTCTTGCCAACTTTGCACTCAGAGAAAGGGAACAATTAACAAAAGAACTTTAAAAAAAAAGAAATTTAAAAACCAAATAATAATCCAAAATAACCCACAAACTAAAGGTTTACACCGAGCTTTTTAAAGCCAGTCACAGAACTCCCATTCCCCTTCCCAAGGAGGGGCATTTCCCAAAATCCCTGTACCTTTTTCATCCGAGGAGAGGGACTCTGCTCCGCTGGAAGACAAAAGCAGACACACATGAGCAGCTCTGGCAGCCTTTCCCACACCAGCACAGGGACAGCATTCCCACCCTCTGGCACTGCTCCCAGGCTCGGGAGAATGGGAGCCGGCTGATGAGGGGGTTGGTCATTAAATATTATAAATATTCATTTTCTCCAGCACCACTCCGGCCCYGGCTCTGTCCTGGCCCTTCTGGGACACAATTCCTGGTGGCTTTGCTGGACACAATTCCCATGGAGCAAACCCCTGGTGCCAGCCCTTTGTGGCCAGCCCTGTGCTCAGTGCCAGGCGCCCGTTGGCTTTGGGAGCGATCCAACCAATCTCCAGGCAGGCAGAAAACCCAGAGAAGATAAACTCTGCACTTCAGYGGGCAGAGAATCCAGCAGAGCCACCTGCAGCCAACTCCCACCAACCCCAGCCTCTTCCACCCCTGGAAAGGGACAGCCWGGCTGCTTTTGTGCTGATTTTAGCATTCACGATCAAAATCCTGCTTGGAAACCTTTTCCTGGAGCTCCACAAAGCTCTGTGACATCTGTCAGGCTGCTCCACGAAGCTGCCCCGAGGAAGGGAACGGCCCTGGGTGCCATCCCCGTGAACCAACAGGTGACATCCATACACCCAGTAGATATTCCAGAGCCTCCATCCTGCCCAGGGGCAGCAGGAACAGCAGGAAGGGAAAAAGCACCCAGCCTTTTTTTTTTATTATTATTTTTTTAGAGGGAGRTGAGTGCCACAGGGCCATCCCAGAGATGCTGAGGGATGCTGGGGATGCTGAAGCCAAGCTGTGGGAGCTGTTCAGCTCAGGAGGCTGATCTGGGCCATCCAGGATGCTCCCGGAATGTACAGGAATCACCTCGGGGATCAGAGYCTCAGGGCACCCTGGGGCACTCAGACACAAAACCGAAAGATAAATAAAGAGATGGGAATGGCAGAGGCAGGAGAATCAATCCCCAAGGAGTGAGGATTGCTGAGGAACCCAGGAGGCAATGGAAGCTGCAGTGTCCTGGCAAAACACAGCAAAGTGTCTGCTCRGGGCTGGGAAAGTTTGTGGGTCAAGGGCAGGAGGAACTGGGGCAGGTTTTCCCCCACAAGAAATTACACAACAGTTTGCTCTTCCAAACTGTATCTTGGGAAAACAAAACAAAACAAAACAATTTATCTGCAGGGTTTAGATGAAGCCTGGACGSCCTCCAGGGCCGGCTCAGCCCGAGCCAAGCGATGTTTGTGCAACCCTTCAGCCCTTGCACCAAGTGCTGGCTTGCTGATTCGGCTTCGCTTCCCTCCGYGCTGCCTTCTCCCCCCTCGCAGCTGCATTTCCCTCCTCCCGCGCTGGCAAACAGCTCCGGCAGCGGCGGGGGAGGAAATACAGAAACAAAAACAGCACCCGAGCACGAGGCTGATGGCTGCAA